CCCCAAAACCCCAAAACCCCGCAATGCTCTATTTGAGAGTTAAAACTTAAGAGTAAATAGTAGAAATATATAAGAGCGAGTAAAATTACTTGATATAGTTTATTTCATTCGAAGACACAGAGATTACACTATTTCCTTAACTTCAAATCTTGAGCATGCTAAGCACGATTTCTCTGCATTGGTCATTATCTATCAATTTTTTGAATATATTTTCATATTTAAACTTTTATTACTGACTAGTGCTCAGTAAGCCTTTAAGATTCTTTATTTGTTCTTCTTAAACCTAAATGTTGCTATAGATTCGTTATCTATCATCTTCAAGATATTGAATTTTTTAAGCTTATGATGCAATATATTGATCCTAAGATTTCTGCGTGTTTTCACTTTGCTTTAATCTACATTTCACATCAACTAATTTCTTTGATATGTGTTTATTCTTTGATTGAAGCTTTTTATTCTCTTGGATGATTTTCTAATTAATGGTATTAATGTCCTCCAGTTAAAGTTCTAAGTCTCTAAGTTGCTTAAAATATTCGTCATTATCATCTTTTTAAGGCGATAAATTGTCTAGCCAGTACTATGCTTAAGGATTATTTTGGTACCTACTATCTGTTTTTCCTCCAATAGTATTGTACTTATGATCAAGACTCGGTCTATTGTTTTCTCTTGAAATGTTTTGGAGGAAGGGAATTTAATTATTTGCATAACTACTTTCCTCTGGATTCATGATGATATATTTCTGCTAGTTATTAGACTTCAACTAGTTTTGATTGTTTGATAATCTTTTAACTGAAACCTAGTTAGTACTTGAGGGACTTAGGAATATATCTTAAGAAATAACAGAAGGTGGCTTATCGTTATTCTAGTATCTCTCATTAATCTTGCAATTATGGAGAGTCAACATTTACAATATTCTTTTCTCTTCTTCCTTATCTGAAATACCCCCCAGGCTTAGTCTTTGTATATTCTCCATTTAAATTCTGAGTGGATCATTATCACTGCTTATCAAAGTTTAGATATTTTAGGACTGTTGATTGTTGGGGCTCAATTGTATAGACTTTAATTCATTTAAATTCTTGTTGTTTGTGAAGTTTACACTTTGATAAGATGACTACTGAGATTTGAGGGATTAATCTTCATGCTGAATTTTTTCTATCATGTTCTATCTTGCTCCCAGTTACATTACTCTATCCTCATTGATCTTTTGATTGCTTTTATTCTTATTAATTAGCTCCGCTTAAGAGGTTTAGGTGAAGAAGTGTTATTGCTATTAGAATGAGTGTGGACTCAATGTACTCTTTCTTCTCCCAATACTGTTGCTCATTCTTCTAAGATTTTGTGCTTCTTCTGCCTAGTCTATAAATTACTATAGCTTTTATAAATCATCATCAAGCTTATCTTTGAAAGCCTTAATATCTGGTTTTAATTTCCCTACTTCAGCTTATCTTCTCTTTTGATCTATTAATCTTGAATTGCTATTCTCAGTTATTTTTCTAGATGATAGATTAGAGATGAAACAATGCTGATAAAGTTAGGGTTTATTTGAGTCTCTAGTTGTATTTGGTATCTGTGTCAAATAAGTCAGATGCTTGCTTTAGTGATTATTATTTTAGTTTTAGTTTTGGAAGTCTTTATCTGAAGAAGTTGATTCTTGTGATGAGTGTTTTGCAAAAGTAGCTAAATTCTAATTATTAATATTCTACTAAGTCATATTTCTATTGATTCTTTACGTTGAAGAAGAATCATTTCTTGGAATATTAGGTGAAATTCCTTGGAAATACAAGTGTCTTTGCTAATTTTTCATATTTTATGGTGCGATTTACTCGAATTTATGCTTTCTATTTTAGATTCTACCACCTTCAGGTGTCAAATCATATCACTCTTGCATAGGACTCTCTCGTTCTTGCAGTTTTGCAATTTTAGACAAAGGAGCTGGATTCATTGGAAGAGGGCTTTGTCTTTGAGAAAAGTATTGCACAGGCCTATCTCTGGGAGAGATTGAGGGAGAAATTTTACCAAACATTTAAAAATTAAAGTACTAAAGAATTCACTATCTTAAAATAAAATTTAATGTTGTTTTTAAAATTAGTTGACTGTCGGGGTTTTGGGGTTTTGGGGTTTTGGGGTTTTGGGG